GGGGAGTCGGTAATAATGCATCGTATCTGTATTCTGCACTTGAGCTACGCTGAAAATAATTGCGAAAAATTAGAAAGGGTCATAGCTCTCCAACTGTGTCATTTGAGCCTGTTCGTGCTAAGAATTCATAGGTCGGATGTGTCCAACTTTGTTGACCTCTAAAATGAGCTAAGTATAAATGCACAATTTGCTGATAGACATTGTGCAGCGACTTGAGACTTCCCTGAAGACAAAAAAGACGCAATACTGGGGCAGAATATGTATTCAGCACAGAGAAGTTGTTTGGGCTACTGGTATGGCCCCAAGGCCAGCCCACCCAGAGAGGTATAAGAAGGCAAATTTAAGAGTTCAAAGGTGGCGTCTCACCTATACCAAGGGATAAACCACCATCGTATTACAATTGGGTTGCACAAAACGTGCCATATAGCTTTACGGGTTTTCTGAATGTCCTATGTCTGTAAAGAACTTTGGGCCCGGGTAGGCTTTTAATAATTAAATGGCAAAGTTGGATGCGAATTAAGTCATCTACAGAATGTACATATGTTAGCAACCGAATATGGTAAGTAGAGTTGCGTACATCACAGAGCAATGTGTGTACACATTTTTGGACCAAATATGACTTCATTTTAGTAAACAACAAGTAAAACTGAGCTGCTTTAAAAATCCTAAGGGTTTTGACTTGCTTAACAGCTTTGTGTGTAGTATCATAATGCTATGTTATTAAATGTTTCGGTGTTTATGTGATGAAGTTTGCAGAGACCTTCTTAATATTAGTTGCCCTGTTAACTAACTCTGGTCGGTTGAAAACTTAGTTAAGAGTTGGAAGGAATGGTGTTTAAAACTTTGGTTCTGTTTTTACGATATGAAAGTTTTTGTTTATTTGCTTCGTTTAGTTTGGGGAATGCACTTGTAGCGGTCACATTTTGCAATGCTTTCAGACGCCGCTGTAGGTGACCGTGGTTATTTGTATCCTGAGTCTTCTTCCGATGATGAACTTTTGCCGCGAGCACTTCCCATAGATGATTATGGTGGAACAGATCCACCAGATGCATCAAAAATACTTCTATGTCCGAATGAGTACTTACGACACGTTCGGTAGCATCGCGTTCCGCTTTTATGTTTTACGTTTTTCTAAGGTTAGAGGCATCGAAACTTCCGGAAACGCTTGTTTCTTCCCTACACACACTGGATAAGGATGAAGTAAGTGTTGTTGCTGGCTTCAACTAATATTAGGTGGATATGCCAGAAGCGGTCTCTTCGCGGAGTTCTTTCCAAGATTTTTCCGAAGCGTGGAAACATGCGCAGGCCCACAAGTTCCAGAAGTCACAAAAGGTTTATTAGTAAAATACCAACAAATTTGGTTTCAGGAATTTAGTTATCTGGTTAAACAGTTTCTCCCTTCCAAGTCTTTTCTCTCTGATGCCGTGAGTTACGACTCGTACTTAGATGTCGAAAGGTTTCTAACAATGAGGGGTGTGGTAGGGTTCAAACCTTATTCAAGTTGTGTTTTTTCCATGTTTCCGGCCGTGCTCCTAGTTTCTTGCCTCATTGACGTTCTCAAGTATTAACACGGGCTTCATATAACAACATTTAGAAAATGCGTAGCCGGCAAAAGTTTGAACTGCGTCATGGTAGTGCCATTTCCAACGGACTTTTTAACTTTACTTTCTTGTTCTCATCGTCCTTTTTTATATTTCACTTACTCGTGTACATTGGCTTTGTGCATAATTTTGCTAGTGAAGGATTTTTGCATGGATTAAACATTCTAATGCCTCGAAACTCATGATTTTCTTGTTTTTTTTCTTAGGATTCACTTATTACCTCTCTCAGGTCGGATAATTGTATTCATTGGCTTGTGAATCATCCGCCCATGCTTTCATATTTTGTTGAACTATCTCAGGTTTGCCGGAGCCAACTATTTAAGTTATTGTTTAGGCTAATGTTTCACTTTTGCTTGAAACCCTTCTTTCAGCTTGCCCCCGGGCGGGGTGGAACAGCGCCCTGGTACGGATATTTATCGCTCTAATATTCCTTTATTGATTTAAAATAAGTAGGCATGCTTATTTAATTGCAGCAGCCATGGGTTTACGGGGGCTTGCTTGGACTAGAACCGCCTCTCCTTCCTGGCACCTGCCACACCGTTCGGCGAATCGGGAAGAAATTTTGCAAATACTTAAGGGTATTGACAATTTTACGGTTAAATATATTCTTCCAACCATCCTGATACATTTTTACAACACTACGCTTTTATATTTTGCTATGAGCAATGCTTAAGTCAAATGTCGCATGTATTTCGTGGTATGGGTTCGGTAGTTTTTTGTTTGTAGACAAGTTCAATACGAAAGTAACAAAACGGATTTACACGAACTACGATTGTATAAACTTTATGG